CCTACTTAAATTGCAGAAAAAGGTTGATCGTAGCGAGGCATACACTCTGATCCAGCCTCATCCGTCGTTCGCGAACACAGAGTTTGGTGTGTTACTCAACAGCTTCCAGGGTTACACCACGCCACTGAACGCCTTCATGAAAGAGTACATCTTCCTCGGTATTATTCCTGCATCAGCTGCACGCCACCGAAGTGTTCAAGGCTTTAGATCCAATGGGCACACAGTCCAGTTTACAAATTGCGATGCCAATCCCAACAGCTATTTTGCATTCATGCCAAACCACAATCTGCAAACTCCCAGTAACTATGGTGCTAGCTGGCATATCTTTGAAACAAGCCGCGTGGCGGTAGACTGGCGCTCCAAAGCAATTCCCATCACCCATCCTGATCGCACCATGCCGAACGAATTCTTCTTCTTGACAGAGCTGCATTTTGGAGGCTGTGGAACCTACACCTCTAGCAACCGATGGAACAAGTTTGGCTTTCACGCCACCGCCATTGGAATTCGCTAAGTCCCTGTTTTCCATTTTTTAATTTCCCGTCATTAGATTAGTTGGCTGGCAAATATTGTAACAAACTTCTCTTATTGTTCCAAATCAAGTTGTATCGGCTAAGCTTTCATCGAAAATCCTAGATAATACCTTTCTGGTCTTCTTACTGAGGGATGCCGGATAAACAACTAAAAAACTCTTAAACAACTTCAAGAAACTTTGAGTTTTTAGAATAAACTGCTGATTTTAAAAATTTACTGTCAATTCTGTCTTTCTAAGGTTGAGCCGATCAGACCTGCTGATCGTTTAAAATTAGTTTCAAGTTAAATTTACATTAGCAAAGCAGGCAAATTCTATTATTAACTGTAACTGTATTTAAGAAGGCGGGAAAAGAAAAAACAATAAAGTGTTATTATCGTTCATTAGTGGTCCGTTTTGTTCTATTTTGCTGCGCCCTATAGCTATTTGCATAGTTTGAAGTTAAAATTACAGTCAAACCAGGTCAAGCGTTCCCGTCGCTAACGAACTAATGTATTCATTAACGGAAAAATGATTTCGTTTGTTGATTCAATAACCCATTCATAAAATGAACAATCCAATATTGATATTTAGCCTCAGCTAGCCTCGATTCCTTAATCGAATGTTGATTCGATTACTGTTTTTTGAAAAACTACACTTTCCACAAGTCGACCTCAGAGTGAGTTCTAAAGTTCAAACCCAAACAAACCGTTACATGTATGCCATTTTGCTTCCAGTAATCAGTGCAACGGATCTGACCTCTTAGAAAACACGATAGTCAAACTGAAGCTAAACTGAGGTAAAAGTATGTGCGGTGACTGGTGGATTTCGATCCCCGGCCTTTGTTAGTTTCTTTGCGTTTACGGTCTGTCTATTCTAGCCGTTATTTTGATGAAAGGCAATGAAAAACGCAATCGTAAACAGGCAGGGAAAGGGAAGCAAATACGATTGAACACAACAGACAACAATAAAGAACAGGTCGATTTTGTTCATAAACCAAATCAACATTAATTATTGAATCAAGGTCCAATTTGACTGTTGGATTATTCATTTTATGAACGGATTATTAAATCAAACAACGAAATCATTTTTCCATTAATTTCATTTCGGTAAGATAAAATCATTATAATCAGTATTAGCTTTGTCAACAAAACGCCGCAGGTGACATTAACAGGAAAAAGACATGTTAACAAAATCTTTGTGCTTTGACATGCAGAGCTTTGGCGGAAGTCAAGGCCTAAACATTTACCACGATAAATCAGTCTTCTTCGAAGAGGTTTCGAACACATCGTCGAGCTAAGTCGGAGAACTGAGCAGGTAGAGATCTAGCTAATTTAAGGGAAGATTTTACTCTGCGATCATGCCCTGACCCTTTACTTACAGACGCCTTATCAGTTACCTCGTAGTTCGATCAGGAATAATTGGGAAATTGTGATTGTTAATTTAATTTTATTATTATTATTAT